AAAAAAAATTTACATGAATACATTTTGATGGAAGAAACCACTCATTAGTGATACTTCCCATGATTTTTTTAATTTTTTATTTTCTTAGAATTTTTATTTTATATTTCCAATGACTTAATTATATTATTATTAATTGATATTGGTAGAAAGAAGATCACGGCACCACTTACGTTTTAAACGTCTGGGTGGGTCTCCAGGTATGGACAAGGTTGAGAGGTTTTTTATTAGGGGATTTGAGTGGGAGAGTAATTTACTGTGGAATCTTTTATAGTAGGAAATGGCTTCTTCATGAACTGTTTTTAAGTTGAGATCGTTATGAAGTGTATAATTAGAGATATAAGGAGGTGCATTGATTAGTTTTCTTAAGACAATATTCTGAAAGCATTGAATTTTATTGGTATTGGATTTTTTAGCATTTCCCCATAACTGAAGGCCGTAAGTCCATATGGGTTTTAAAAGGGATTTATAAATTAAAAGTTTAACATTAAAGTTTGAAAATTTATTGTTTGTGATTAATGATTTGAGTAACCGCAGACGGCTATTTAACAACGAGCGTTTATTTTTAATGTGCTGAGCCCACGTGAGCCGACTATCTAGTGTAAGTCCGAGATACTTGACAGAAGAATAGGAGGGGATTTGTACTCCATATAGGGAGACACCAGGACAAGGGAGAAGTCTTAAAGTAAAGGTAGTATGAACTGATTTTGATTGATTAATTTTAAATCGCCATTTAGTGTACCATTCTTCCATTAGGTGTAGGTGATTTTGCAAATTGACGGATGCAATCTGTGGGTCAGAGTTATAGGATAAGATAGCTTTGTCATCAGCATAATCTGCAACAATGGTGTTAGGAGTTGTGGGTTGGTCTGAGGTATAGATATTAAAAAGGATTGGGGATAGGATACCTCCTTGTGGGACTCCCGCATTTATAGAGGCTATGTCAGATACTGAAGAACCAAGACGAATTTGGAAAAAACGATCAGTTAAATAGGATTTAAAAAACAGGTAGTAAGAGGGATGCAAACATTTTTTTAATTTATATAAGAGGCCGTCATGCCATACCCTATCAAAGGCCTGTGAGATGTCAAGAAACGCACTTGTGCAATATAATTTTTTTTCAAGCGAATACGATATAACATCTACTACTCTATGGATTTGATGTATAGTGGAGTGAGAAGCCCTAAAACCAAATTGGGAATTAGGCAGTATATTATTGACAGTGAGACAGCAAAGTATTCTTTTAAGTAATAATTTTTCAAAAATTTTTGCAAAGAACGGTAACAGACTTATTGGTCTAAATGATGTTGGTAGGTCAGGGGGTTTATTAGGTTTAGGAACTAATATGATAGTTGAAAATTTCCATATATATGAATATAAATGTAAATAAAAAGAAATAAATAAACACCAATATTTTATATGTGTTAGAATATTTATATCACCAAAAGTATTCGACCGAAAATAAGATGTATAATATTTTCCAGTAATTACGAAAGAGGGANATTCGACCGAAAATAAGATGTATAATATTTTTCAGTAATTACGAAAGAGGGTAAAAATTATGTAGATTTCATATAGAATTGTAACTAAGAATGAAACATAAACTCACGCACATTCACTTTTTGTATCTTGGTTGAGTATTCCAGAGAGCTGTAGAGATGTATAGATAGAATGGCAAGGCGTCCCAGTATCTGCTAGAGGGATGTTCAGAAATCGTACCACCGCGAAACAAACCACACTAAGGGAAGCGAAGCCGCAGAGGAACCACCCGAATTTGGGGGAAAATGGACTTTTTATAGCCTGCAAAACTGGTTTAGCGATCTCTGGTGAGATTCTTGAAATATTTTTTGCTGTATTTGAGAGGTTAATGTGATAGAATCTTTTACGTGGGCATTTTATGGAATGCGTAAGAGGGAGGTTAAATCTTGTGTAAGGGTATTATTTTATTACTCATCTTATCCACGGGGAAATACTGATTTGGTGATATATTTTATTAAATATAATTATTAATTATTACATGTATTAAAATGTGATACTACACAATTAATAATACTTTAGTATTGTAATTTTTTACGGAGAATTTATAAATATTAATAGAAGTTACTTCTATTGCAAACGTGTATAAAAATTGAAGGACTTGTTGGCAAATTTTCAATAAAAAAATTGTTTTTTAATTATAAACAAATTTGAAGACGTACAAGAAATTTTCATCAGAGATCAAAATATACCTTCTAAACTTTTTTTGTACCGATTTTGTAGTTAGATTTTTTTGATAAGTCTCACATTTTATTGATTTTTTTACATAAACTTCTGTAAATAATTATTATGAATATTGATTATAATAATCAAATATTTTTTATGAAATCTAACTACATTGATTCGGCTATTTTTAATAGCAAATCATAGGCGAAAACTGAACGATTCTATTTTCTATAACATTGTATAATGTTATAATAATAGAATCATTTGGTTTAAAATTGCAAGAAAAATAAATAGAAAACATTTGGAAGAGCTAATTTAATTTATCTATTAATAATATCCTTATATAACTCTTAAGATTTCTTAGTTTAACTAGATCACAAAAAAAAAAACAACTCATTTAAACTGAATTAATTTTTTTGGTCTAGTCTAACATAAAGGTAGAGTATTGCATATAGAATAAATAGTAATAAAATCATTATAATTGATACAATAAATAAATATGTTTTATTATTAGGATACATAGGAAAAATCAATAAATATATTTGAATTAAAAAATACGCAACAAGTAGAATGTAATATGTGCAATATATTATTATAAACAATTATTGAATATTTATTAAACTAGTTAAGTTGTGAATATTTTTATTGTAGCATGAACACAAAGAGTTACGTAGAAATGACTACTATGATTTTTAATGGTGTTTTATTTTGATATTAGTACAAAAAAGAATGTAGTAATTTAACGGAATTTTTGTCTTTTCTATTAAATTTACTATTAATAGTAATTTTATAAGTTTCTAATCACAAAACAATCTAAAAAATATTATTTTTTAAATTCTCAAAAAATTATCCATTTAATGTTATCAATTCTAAACTTTCAATTTAAGCTAAAATAGTCTTTAAAAATTCAAGTTTTTGACATATTTTCAATTTTTTTTACTTAAAACTTTTTTTAAAATAATCAAATCAATATTTTTTTTTATAGTTCCATGATGCCTTTACTATTTATTTTGTATATTTTTCATATAAATACGACCCTTTAACAGTCCACAAGGGGGGATTTCAAAGGACAAATTTTTCAACTTAACTATTGAAAGTGTTCCACAAAGTCTGACACATATATATATCTTAAATTAAAGCTAAAGTAATATGCTTTATCTTGAAAAAAAAATTTTGGATTTTATTTTGTCTTCACAGTTAAAATGGTTACCAAAAGCTATTTTTGTGTGAAAATTCTCGATTTTATTTTTAGCTTCGATGCGAAGCTGAGACCTTCTCAGCTTCGCATCGCATATAGAAAGTAGAACTTTTTCAACTTAACTTTAGAAAGTGTTCCGGAAGGTCTGACACTTTTATATATATCTTAAATTAAAGCTAATGTAATATACTTTATAATGGTAAAAAAAAATTTCGGACTTTATTTTATCTTCATGGTGAAAACAGACATTAAACTTAATAAAAAAAATACGATTTTTGTAAAAAAATTCTTTTTTATATTTTTAACTTTATAATGCTATAACTTCTCGAAAGATGTATGGATCAATATAATTCTTTTTTTTGTAGATGCATGATGTCTTTACCTATCATTTGGTATATTTTTTTTATAAATCTGACTTTTTACCTGCCTACAGGGGGGGATTCAAAATGACAACTTTTTCACAAAAAATTGACTTTTTCAACTTAAATTTTGAAAGTGTTCCGGAAAGTCTGACACTTTTATATATATCTTAAATTAAAGCTAATGTAATATACTTTATCATGGAAAAAAAAAATTTCGGACTTTATTTTATCTTCAAGGTGAAAATGGCTACCAAATGCTATTATTGTGTGAAAATTCTCAATTTTATTTTTTACATTTTTAACATTATAATGCTATAACTTATTGAAAAGTGTATTGATCAATATAATTTTTTTATGGGAAATACTATTTTCTAATAATCTCTTTTTTATTCTACATACTTTGTCTTAATCAGGATATTAATAAGGAACTAGCAGTTTATGAAGCTTTTGGAATAATCCACCAATTTTTTAAAATTAAACACTATCTAAAGATTTGCATCGAAGCGTTTTTTTTTGATAGTGATTTTAATCACTGTCAGATATCATTATACTTGATCCAACTATGCCACGTCACCACTGTGCCGCGACCCCCCTGTGCTGGGTTTTTTTTTTTTTTTTTAACTTTATAATGCTATAACTTCTCGAAAGATGTATGGATCAATATAATTCTTTTTTTTGTAGATGCATGATGTCTTTACCTATCATTTGGTATATTTTTTTTATAAATCTGACTTTTTACCTGCCTACAGGGGGGGATTCAAAATGACAACTTTTTCACAAAAAATTGACTTTTTCAACTTAAATTTTGAAAGTGTTCCGGAAAGTCTGACACTTTTATATATATCTTAAATTAAAGCTAATGTAATATACTTTATCATGGAAAAAAAAAATTTCGGACTTTATTTTATCTTCAAGGTGAAAATGGCTACCAAATGCTATTATTGTGTGAAAATTCTCAATTTTATTTTTTACATTTTTAACATTATAATGCTATAACTTATTGAAAAGTGTATTGATCAATATAATTTTTTTATGGGAAATACTATTTTCTAATAATCTCTTTTTTATTCTACATACTTTGTCTTAATCAGGATATTAATAAGGAACTAGCAGTTTATGAAGCTTTTGGAATAATCCACCAATTTTTTAAAATTAAACACTATCTAAAGATTTGCATCGAAGCGTTTTTTTTTGATAGTGATTTTAATCACTGTCAGATATCATTATACTTGATCCAACTATGCCACGTCACCACTGTGCCGCGACCCCCCTGTGCTGGGTTTTTTTTTTTTTTTTTAACTTTATAATGCTATAACTTATTGAAAAGTGTATGGATCAACACAATTTTTTTATGAGAAATAATATTTTTTAATAAACCTTTTTTCATTCGACATACTTTATCTTAATCGAGATATTAATAAGGAACCAGCAGATCAAGTAGCTTTTGGAATAAAACACCAATTTTTTTAAAATTAAACACTATCTAAAGATTTGCATCGAAGCGTTTATTTTTGATAGTGATTTTAATCACTGTCAGATATCATTATACTTGATCCATCTATGCCACCTCACCACTTTGCCGCGACCCCCCTGTGCTGGATTTTTTACATTTTTAAATTGTGTAATGCTATAACTTTTTGAAAAATATATGGATCAATACAATTTTTTCATGAGAGGTAGTATTTATATACATCTTTCATTCGACATACATTATCAATCAGGATATAAATAATTAAATAGCAAATTATATAGCTTTCGGAATAATTCACCAATTTTTTAAAATTAAACACTATCTAAAAATTTGCATCGAAGCCTTTTTTATGATAGTGATTTTAATCACTGTCAGATATCATTATACTTGATCCAACTATGCCACGTCACTACTGTGCCGCAACCCTCTTGTGCTGGGTTGGATTTTTTTAAATAGAATCATTTCTCCTTATATATTTAAGTTGATAAAAAAATTTGATCTCTGGATTCTTTATCATGGTAAAAATATCTACCACATTTAAATATATGCTATTTTTGTGTTAAAGTTCTGGGTTTTTTATTTTATTTTATATTAAAATACCTGACAAGGGGAGTATACTGATTTTCGTAAATATTATATAAATCACATTGATATAGCATAGAAAATTTAACTTATTTTAATTTTTTTGCTTTTTTTAAGTAGAGAAAAATAACTTAAGAAATTTCTTGTTCAAATTAAAATTATTTTACTATATTTTAGGTCTTAGTTTCGATGCAAAGCTGAGAAGATATTTTTTGTGACTATCATTTATTATCCCTGCTTTAACTTAAACAACTTTTTTCGATACGTCAAATGTTTAAAATTCGTATCTTATGAAAATATTACCTTCAAAAATTGAAACAAAATTCTAATTTATCAATTAAACATATACTTATCCCATGTTCTCCATACAGACAATTAAAATTATTCATTTCTTTAAAAGAGGATTGGAATATAATCATTGAAGTTTGCCTGCAAACCTCAATTATTATTATTTATTGTGCATTGTTTTGAATTGTTATGATTAACTAATGGCTAATTTAAGATCATTAAGTTTGTGTTTAATTTGGAAAGTATAAGTTTGAAACTTTAAAATCCTCCTGTACATTTTTTTTTTAATATAATATTTTTCTCTAATTATGTTATTTAAAATTTTTGAATTCATGATAATGAATTTTCGTTTATTATTTTAGCATATAAAAAAAGAGGATCAAAGAAACCTCCGTTAAAACGTAACTAAATTTCTATTTGAAAATATTACTATGTTCTCTTATTATTTCATAACATAATGTTTAAACTTAATTAATTAAACATTTATTTTTAATTTTTAAAAAAATTATACATTATTCAGCTATTTAGAGACCTCCTGTAAAACATAACTTTTTTTATGTTACAGTAACTTCTAATAAACATCTATTTTGAAATAAAAAAAGATCCTGTAGTTGTTTTATTATAGTTAATAAATAATAGTTTATTATAGTCAAGTATCAATTAATTTTTAATTTTATTTTAGCCAAAACCAATTTCAAGTTTCATAATTCTTCAGTAGAAGGTAACTAAATTTTTCTTAAACTATAAAGATTATTTTTCATTCAATATTTACATAAATGAAATTTATAACAGTGGTGAATTAATTATATTCATAAATATTTCCCTGTGATTAAATTAACAGGTGTGTCGTAGCTTTGACAAAACTAAGTCGTAATTTGTTAATTAGTGCAGTAAGGTTAATTGAATTTTCAACAACGTAGTTATATTTGTGTTTTCCGTGTATATTGTATGGACAAGTGTGTCCAGTGGTTTTCGTGTTTTTCAGATAACGTGTAGAACTAATAACCAATCCATAGATATTATGTTATTATTTAGTTATAACATAGTTATTATCCATAGTTATTATTCTCTAGTGTGCGTAAGCAGACTTAAAGTAAATATTTAATCTAGTGGGATGGACAACTAGCTGACCTACGGTTTAGTTGTAATGTACTAAACATTATCATAAATACAATTATGTAATTGGTTAAAAAAATAAATAATTGGTGCAGTACAAACCAATTCTAACTACTCTTTTAAATAATATTTTTCTTTCATCATACATTTTATTAAATTATTATAAGAAAATATATTTTTTTTACAAAATTATCATTGCTTTAATAAAAAATCATAAAACTATACAATGTTAGAAGCGTGTATAAATTAATATAACATGTATCTCACCATCTGCAGTGCGGATACTGCACATTTATTTAATAATGCAGTTATGTTTGTAGCCATGAAAAAATTTAACAGGGTATTACAATATTGCGCTAGTGCATATATATTAGTTTAAGAATAAAAATTTTAATCAATGAGAAAAAATATCTTGAATTATTATAGTGATTACAAAAAATATCAAATTATTAATGTAGTATAAATCTTCATACACTATTTAGACTCTTTTCTATAAAAATGAATTAAAAAAAAAAAAAAGGTAAATATTAACAAAAAGTGAATGTATTCAACATATAAACATACGCGAAATCATTTTCGAAGAATTATATATTGTCTCATCTTTAATTTTTTGTGGAAATGTGTGAGGTTTAAAGTTGTATAATTCTGATATATTACACTTCAAGTCAACTCTTCAAATTCAAAGCAAAGGTTAATAAAAGAGAAAATGTGTTTCTATTGCCTTCAAGAGATGGTTACATGTTAGTCATTTATACATTAATAATGTTAACACAAAACCACTGCCATTAATCTGATAATTCAAATTTTATAACAATATGAAATTTTCTTTTTGAAAACATCACATATGTTAACATCAAATTGTGAGTAATTGAGTCGACGAACAAAAAAAATTTGATAAAGTTTTTTATTAAATAGGTTATTTATAATAACTGTATGAAAAAAACAACATTAAAAAAAAAAAACTTCCAACTTAATGTGTTACAAAAAATAATATTTTCAAATGAAAATGAAAATGTTCATATTAAAAAAATATATATTTTAAAGCTAAAGCTAACATAAAAGTAGCCAACAATTTAGAAGCTATTTTAAATATTTTTTTTTAGATACGTCTATGTTAAAAATTATGCATAAATACATAACTTTAAATAATTTTATAGAACCAACTATAATAAAAACTGACTATGCATCGTACAACGATATCAAATCAGGAATGTCGAGAATGTTGGGAATGGGTCAAAATTGGTCGGCAGGACTTGAGGAAACTGTATCTTACATGGATTTTTTGGCAAATTATGGTAATAAAGGTATAATTTCGTAATTTTTATGCAAAGTATTTCTATTATCTTAAACTACTTTATTAATTGAAAAATAAAAATAGTATTGAAAAGTTTTTTTGGTTTCTTTAAGTTATATATTTTGCTCAATTTGTGAACAATGAAGTATTTTTTATGTTCATCCATAATGTCTTAGGGCATAAGGGGTGACAACCTTATTTTTGTAAATAGGGGCATATATAGTTTACTAGCTTATTTATTAGAGAATGATTAAACTAAAATAACTTATCAAAAAAACTCTTGTACCAAAATTTCAAAAGTTATTATTAATTTAAAATAATGACTGGAGTTGATGCGTGGGTGTTACAATTTTTGTCACTGGACATTTCTCTGCTTCACTCTTCCTTCTACCTATGTATAAAAATGTTAATAACTTCTGAAATATTGGTCTAAAAGTTGTTATGAACTAGTTATTTTCTTGAGTATAACATCACCTAATAAAAAACACGTTACTTTAAGATACCGAATAATTTAGTTATTTACGTTAACATAATCACCTTCTATAAACTTTCTAAATATATTAAAACTATTATTAAACCTAGTTCTATTTTAAATGTATTTAGCAATGTAGGGAGGCCACAAAATTAACTGTTTTTTTATAATTATATCTAACTAATATAACATAAATATTTTATCATATTAATTATTTTTTTTTTTTTTTAGACAAACCAAAAATTGATAATTGGTGATAATCACTAATAGCATGAAAGATAATAACAAACAATAAATAATTCACAATGAATAATTAATTTTTTAACATCATTATACATAAAATATTTGTTTAATTTATTATTTTTGTTCAAAATTTAATAAATGTTTGTTAACATTAAAATTTCAAATACATTTAATTAAAGTTTGTTAAAATTAAATTAATTCTGATTTTCTCCATTTTTATCATAACAAAAGTATAAAATTAAAGAAAAAAAATATAAAATATACTTTAATTAAAATCTGTGTACATAAAATAAATTTAAGTAGGAATTATAGGATTGGCTTATAAAATTAAGACACAATGGTTTCTAAGTGATATTTTAAAGACTAGCTACTTTATTTCTCTCAGAATAATAATAATGCTAAGCATATTTTTTAGTACCCTATATTTTTTGATTTATCAGTTATTAATTACTTTTTTAACCTATCCATGACACCTAATAATAATACTTATTTTATATTTTTTATGACGAAATACTTATATAACTTATAGAATAAAAAATCATCTAATTTAAAAAATTAACGTTCAAAAACAACTTTTTGACTAGTATTTCTAAAATTAATAACATTATTTATACCTAGGTGAGAGTAGAGGTGTGGCCAAAAATTATTAAATGATAAATAATGTTATACCTACACTCCAGCTACATTCTATATTTTGAAATGGTAATAACTTTCAAACTACTAGTCCAAAAGTATTATCAACCAGTCATTTTCTTAGATATATATATTTTATATATTTTATAACAAAGTTAAATATGTCTTTAAAAAAGAAAGTAAACTATCTAAATTTAATTTTATTAAGTTGTGAGAAATTATTATTTTAGTTATGAAATTAAAATTGAAGTTTTTTATTAGTCATTAGTAGCTAGAACATTATTCTTATAATGGTATTTACACAATAAAAAAATTATTTTTCTAAAAAGTTACGGCTGTTCTATGTACCAATATAGAATGTAAAAGATTCGACTAGATTCGATTTGTGATCTATTGACGTACCGTTAAGAAAAATCATTCCAGTGGATCAGAGAAAAAGTAGTGGCAGACTAACAAAAAAATATATAATAAAATAAACACAGCATGGAAAATTTAATACCTTCACAGCTTCACATCGAAGCCAAAATATGTAATATGGGTAAGAAATTCCTTCTCACAAGGAGAGAATGTGAGAATGTGGTCCCTGATATTCATTAAAGTTATTCAATCTAATAGAAATAAACAAACGAATTTTAAATTATATTCTACCTCAAATGAATTTAGGAAAAAATGTAAAAGAGTCATTTACACCGAAAGTGGAAATATAGTACATATTTTAGTAGTTAAAATAACAATTAAAGCTTATTCACAAAATTCAAGGTCGGATTTATTAACTAAGGGATGGCAAAGATTTCAAAAGAAGTTTAAATGTATATTCAATGTAAGTTAGATTTTTGTAACTTTATATAACTTGAAGGCAGTATTACTATAGTAAACCCTTTTAGACATTTTAAAAAAAAATTTCGTTGAGATTTACAGATATTTAAAATAATGGACCTGCTTTAATTCCTCAAAAAGTTTTTATATATTTTATTTTATATTTATTATCAATGACTTGTATTGTATGTTAATGATTAATTAATAATTTATTTAGGTTAGTTAATTATCATAAAAAGTATTTTTAGGATAGTGAAGAAAGTATTCTGTCCAAGTAGATAGTTTCTTCAAAAATTAAAGAAATAAATTTGTTAAAAATACAATAATTAATAAAACAAAAGAAGTTCATTACATTTGTTTGAAATATAAATAAATAACAATTATAAAAACTACAGTACTAAGAAAAAAATTTCTATTTAAATAATTATTATAAAAGTGAGATCTATGAATCTTTCAAAACTAGGAATAAACAAATTGAGAATATAGTATACATCACTTGTTTTCCCGGGGCGTATCAATAAAGTATCGCATAGTTGATATTTTATTTTTTGTACGGTTGGAACTTGTACCAAATCTGCTTAAATCATTTAGAGTAATTATATATGAAACATTTTGTGCACTAAAGGTGATGACACCGTCATTATCAACAGCTATTAGATTATATTCATATATATCAAGGGTAGCACTAAGATTTGCTTTCATGGAACTTGTGTTATAATAGTCCGACTGTTAAGATACATATCTTTCTTTGTATCAGCAGCAAAAAAGGGTTCGTGCTACCATCATAAACTTGCTGTTCTTCATAATGGCTGTTGTGAGGACTTGAACTAGGAGCCAAGTTCATTTGAATATTTTCCTGCAACTTTGCAGTATTCATATAAGATCCATCATGAATCTCATCTTCATCATCTAGAATAAGAACTATGTAACTTGCAAAACTTGTTGTAAACGTTTCGGGAGTATAGTAATGCATTATTTGTTTGCCTCGGGGCGTATTAATAAAGTATTCAATAGGTGATGTTTTATTTTTTATACAATTAGAATTTGCAGTAAAACTACCTAAATCATTTAGAGTATTTATACTTAAATTGTTTTGTCCACTAAATGTAGTAAGTGCATCATTATCATCAGCCATTTGATTATGATGAGCTAGAAAATATTTTAATTTTTAACTTAAAATTAAACAATTTTTAATTATATTTTTTTACTCAGCAAAACTAAATTATTTTGTTTTTAAAAAATTACATTTACTATGATTGTGAAACGCTTTTCTTTCTTTAGATTTTTGGATCTCCGATGTCTGAGAGTTTTTTATTTTCAAGCCAGAAAGTTTATTTGAGCGCGGTTTAGTTTTTAACAAGGCAGCATTAAGACCCACTATACGATTGCTTTAAAATAAACACAGTTATGTTATAAACTTTTAAAATATGTATTATTATTCGATATAATTTTTAATTGCTATAAAAATATTTTGAAATTCCTGTCCTTAGTGTTTTATATGTATAACTCATTGTTACAATAATATACTGTCGTTTAATATAGTTATTAAAAATTCTCTCTACAAATTATATATAACTCATTTATAATATTTTGATGGTGTCACGTTACCATTATTGTAAGAATTTATTATAATAAAATACAGACAGCACTTCCGATTCTAGAGACTGATGAATTTACAATTAATATTTATTGTAAAATTGGCAATCGTACAAATTATTATATAAACTCAAAAGTCCTGGTCATCGTGGTCAGTTGACTTAAGTGCTTTATGTCATTCATCAGTTACAGTACTCGGTTGTTGCTGTCCGGCTTACTGCATAAAGTCAAGTCTTTTTTTTTCCTTTTTAACCTACCTATTCTCGTCCTCGACATTTCAGAGTACATGTGTCTTGCATTTCGTCTGCACCTCGTACTCTGTTATCTTTCTTATCTGTTACGCCTAGTATTTGTGGCTTGCACTTCGTCTGTACATCATACTCGGCTATGAGGTGTTACCATTTTTTCTCAGCTCTCAGCAAACCGATTTTTTTCAACGATACAACAAAAGATCACAAATCGTATCTAGTCGAAGACATTACCTTCAAAATTTGAAAAAAATTCCTTCGGTCCCGTAAACGGGGGAAACCCCCCAAAAAATTACAAATTTAAAAATAGCTAATTTTTTCAATTTTTTTTACTTAATATTGCCATAACATTTTTAAAAATGACCGAATTAATATAATTTTTTTTAATGATATCTTAGGTATTTACCCATTATTTTATATATTTTTGTGAACATTTGACCCTTTACCAGACCAGGAAGGGTTTCAAAATGAGAACTTTTTCAACTTAACTTTTGAAAATGTTCCGGAAAGACTGACACTTTTATATATATCTTAAATTAAAGCTTATGTAATATACTTATAATGAAAAAAAAAATTTGACCTCTGGACTAGTATTCATGGTGAAAATGACTACCGTATGCAAAAATATGTTATCTTTATGAAAAAATTCTTGATATTATATTTTACATTTTAGCATCGATGCGCAGCTGAGAAGGTATTAATTTTATTATGATGTGTTTTTTTTTTGTGTCTGTTACCACTTTTTCTCAGCTCTCACCAAACCGATTTCTTTTAATGATACGTCAAAAGATCACAAATTGTATCTAGTCGAAGACATTACCCTCAAAAATTGAAAAAATTTCCGTCGTTCCCCATAAACGGGAGAAGCCTCCAAGAAAATTACAAATTTAAATCGCTAATTTTCGACATTTTTTCAATTTTTTTTTACTTAAAATTGCCATAACTTTTTAAAAATAACCAAATCAATATAATTTTTTTTATATAGATGCATGATATCATAAACTTTTATTTGGTATATTTTTTTTATAAATCTGACCCTAAACCTGCCCACAGGGGGTGATTTAAAATGACAAATTTTTCACAAAAAATTAATTTTTTCAACTTGACTTTTGAAAATGTTTCGGAAAGTCTGACACTTTTATATATATATTAAACTAAAGTTAATGTAATATACTTTATTATGGTAAAAAAATTTTTCGGACTTTATTTTATCTTCAAGGTAAAAACAGACATCAAAGTTGATAAAAAAAATACAATTTTTCTAAAAAAGTTCTTTTTTATATTTTTAACTTTATAATGCTATAACTTATTGAAAAATGTATGGATCAACATAATTTTTTAATGAGAAATAATATTTTTTAATAATCCCTTTTTCTTTCGACATACTTTATCTGAATCAGGATATTAATAACGAACTAGCAGATCATGTTGCTTTTGGAATAATCCACCAATTTTTTAAAATTAAACACAATCTAAAGATTTGCATCGAAGCGTTTTTTTTGATAGTGATTTTAATCACTGTTAGATATCATCATACTTGATCCAACTATGCCACGTCACCACTGTGCCGCGACCCCCTGTGCTGGTTTTTTGACATTATGTTGCTATAACTTTTTAAAAAATGGATGAATCAATTTTATTTTTTAATGATAAATACTTTATATACACCTCTTTCATTTGACATACTTTTTTTTTAAATCGGACCATTTCCCTTTATACAAAAGGGATCAAAATTTAAACATGCGTATTTAAACTAGGACATTTTCAATTTAATTTTTGAAAGTGTTTCAGAAATACTGACACTTTTATATATATATTAAATTAAAGCGTATGTAATATACTTTAATATGAAAAAAAATATTGACCTTTGGATTTGTCTTCATGGTAAAAATGATTACCGTATTCAAAAATGTGCTATTTTTGTTTTAAAATTCTGGGTTTTCTATTTTATTTTATTTTAAAATACCTGACAAGGAGAGTAGACTGATTTTCATAAATATTATTTAAATCAAATTGATATAGCATAGAAAATTAATCTTATTTAAATTTTTTTGATTTTTTTAAGTAGAGAAAAATAACTTTGAAATTCGAACTTGCTTAAAATGTAATTTTTTGCAGTTGACGATTAACGATACCATTGCCGAGATGGTAACACTTGTGTCTTACTCAGTTGGAATACAAGGTTGCAACTCGCAAATGACAAGGAATTTTTTTTTATATTTTGCATGTATCATCTGATGCGCATGTATTTTTTGGCGCTCCCGATATCTTATTTTATTTTTCTCTCTTTTAATTAATTATTTACTTAATAATACCTGTAAATGGTATTTGGAAATGTGGTAGTCGCGTTTCTTAATCGTTTACTAGCATAATTAACTCAAAGTGCCCCAATTACATTTAATATAGTTCACTCGTTTTCGGTGATATACGTTAAACACATTGAGATGCATCACGGCCGTCGCAGGGGCAACCTTGATAATTTTATAGTTGTATGCTATCGCGTTCACTCATTATAGTAATATATATATATATATATATATATATATATATATATCAATTCTCTCGCTACAATATCTAACAATAACAACATACCGATTACACCGATCAAAATTATTCATAAAAGCGTACAAAATTCATCGCCCCAATCGAATGCAAAGAACAGCTCAGTAAATGATGGCTGGACCGTACAGAGCAATAAAAGAAATCACTCCAGCTCCTCTTCTTCTGAACCGCCAAACTCACTTAAAGTACATACTCAACCAACTAAAAAAAATTATTTTCATCATCAAATAGTTTTGACGTTTTAAAAATAACTGATGATCATGACAATACTCAAAACACTAACATTTTCTCAAACAACACAGAATCTATTACCAAACCCCTCTCTTTTGAATTAATGCACTATGCACAAATCTAATTGAGATACTTGGTGTTGAAAACGTTCTTTGTAAGTCATCCACGGATCGATTAAAAATCCAAATTAGCACTTCTGATATATATAGGACATTAATACACTTCCTCGAGGATGAAAAAGCTGAATATCATACGTATCAACTGCAACAAGATAAACCCAGTCGTGTAAAGATTCGCAATTTACACTCAACAAATCAAATCAGCTTAATTAAATCAGAACTAGAACTCCGTGAATTTAAAGTACGTACTTTACTTTATCCATTATCACTATTTTTCGTCGATCTGGAAACTACCACTCAATCAAATGATATATATAAATTAACTTCCATGCTTCATACTAAAATAAAAGTCGAGGAACCATACAAACCTAAGATTGCCAGGAATATGGCCATACTAAATCTTATTGTAACTACCCATCACGCTGTGTTCGTTGTGATGATTTCCACCAATCATACGACAGCTGGTTATAAGCTACCGTAATTTATTCACCTCCTAAGCATAATGTATCATATGCAAACTTTTTAAATCATTTTAATACAATTAACAATAACTTTATAATTGGCGGTGATTATAACACAGAGCACCAAAGTTGAGGGTATCGAGTAAACAGCCCACGTTGAAACGTTCTCTACAATTTTATAAATTCTAAAAATTTCAAAGTAATTACTCCTCCTGGACCAACCTATTGGCCATCATCCCCCCATAAAAATCCAGATATACTGGATATATTTGTAACTAAAACTCTTTCAAATTTGCACTATTCTTTTGACAATATTCTGGATTTAAATTCCGACCATTCATCGGTTATTCTCACAATTAAGGATCATCCACAAATCATTACTGAGCCACTAAGACCTTTTCACGACTCAACTGATCATTTACAATTTCATGACCTTACAGATCAGAACCTCCAAATAAATTTTAAATTAAAAACTAATGATGACATGGACACTGCTGTAAATAGACTAACTAATACAATTTTTTTAATTCTCATAAAATTTCCTATTCAATGATGCCAATTTCAAACTTGCAAAATGAGCTAATGGTTATGGCAAAATATTTTTTTTTTTTTTTTATTATATTAGCTTCGATGCGAAGCGGAGAAGGTATTAATTTTACTATGATGTGTTTTTTTTTTTTTTTTTTTTTTTTT